AAAGAAGGGAAAAAACGGAAAAGCTTTTTTTTTTCTTCTTTCCCCAGATTCCACCCAAGACACCCCTGGCTGCAAAGGACGCTAGAAGATGCCAAAGAGGGGCGCTGGAGACGTAATTAAGCGTATATTCGGAGCCAAAGTGTGAAGGTTGTTTGCTGTTAGTCACAGAATCCGCGGCGGATGGAACGAGGCCGCGCCGCGAGGCGGGCACACGCTATTTGACTCCAAGAGATCCAAGCCAGCGGACAGGGTAATGATTCGCTTAGGCGGAGGGGCAGCCAGTGGACCGTGCAGTGAGCTATGCAATGTTGGTTCAACAGGGCTGCTTCTTTTTTGTGCAGATCAATTAATGGAGGGGGAGGGGGGGGGGAAAGCAAAAGAATCAAGGAAGTTGATGTCGGTGATAAAAATACCAAGCACGGGGAGAAAGGTAAAAATAATGTGAGTAATCAAACAGTACAAAGTAGTTTAGAAGGGGAATGCAAAATGAGAGAATAGGAAGGAAAAAAAAGAAAGAAAGAGAAGAAAGCGGCAAGAGACTGCAAGTCGACGTCAAATTTCCATTAAGTAAGGCGAACAGACCGGGATTGCCAACCAGCCAGCAGCCAACAAACAACGGTGACACTGGCCCTCTCTCTGTCTGTCTCTTGGTAATTTTTTTTACACGGTTGTTTTGCCCGCGGAGTGGAGGCGGAAAGGGAAGCTCAGCGCAGAAAAGACAGAGAAGCCCATGGATCCCGCCGGTGACTCGGACTAACTACTTTTTTTACTTTGTAACCAACTGACCACATGGGGCCCTTCAATCCCTCCCAGCGGCGAATCCGGTTGTTCGGAAGACGCAAAGACAAAAAGAGGTACCATTCGGCTGCTCCATTCTTACTTGGTACTACTTCTTACTTTGCTGCACTGTGAGTGGTCCTCCCCGTCCATCCTTGAATCCTTTGACCGTTGATCGATCGCCTTCCGCTGCGGATTGGTTGCTTTTTCTCACACGGCCGAACTACGTACTATTTTAATCCACGTTCGGGGGCGATACCCGGGATACCACGGTAAGGTTATCAATCAACCGGTCGGAAGTTGGCAGAATGCAGAGGTTGTGATGAATTTATTTACTGTAGGATGGTGTCTCACCTACTACCTCTCTACTATCTGTCATCTTTCCCGGTGAGAGATGGTATTTGCAATATCTCGAAGGAAAGAATAGATTACCAGACATATTTCCATTAGTCGACAAAAGTGATGATTCGATGGCGGATTTGCTGGCGCCATGGCCGAGTCTTGCTGGATCGGGATCACCGCCTGCATTCTATGACATAATGGAAAACCGCCGCTGGTGGCCCCGTGACCTGCCCGACGGGGCGGGATCTTCTCGAGGCCGAGTCCGCACTCCTCCGACCATCGGGACTTTCCTCCCTACTGGCACTAACTACTGAGTTATCCATTATTTAGTATAGTACTCCATAGTAGGTGGGATGAGAGACACAGCCTTTCTCGTAAGAGTAATTCGTTGCGTGTCATCTTCATTTCCCATGAACCCCCAAGACAATCATCCCCTATAGTAATTAGCAGATATAGTTTCGTTCTCAAAAAGTATGTCGCCATCTACCCCAGACCTGCACGCACCCCTGATGCAATATTCCTTACCTAACAATTACTACACGCCCGCCCTTCATTTGCTCCGGGCGGGATCCCGTGATCCTACGGAGAGCGCTAGTCCTGTCACTCCTGCTTCCTCCCCCCCTTCTCCTCTTTCCATTATTCGTCATCCACGGCCTTCCTCTCCTTGACCCAGAGATCAGGAGAACTCAATCCCTGACAGTTTTCTCCTCTTCCAAGGAGATATTGATGAAAGCAGGCCACATGTCCAAGTTACGGCCGAGTCATAGAATCTCTTTCCGAATCAAACTGACTCAGCTCATCGAAGCATGGTCAATACACTACTTGTTCTCGTATAGGGGTCATGACTCCTGGTTGACTGACAACATCACCCCATCCTAGTCCGAACTTTTGATGATTGTGGGGTAGCTGCACAAAGAGGAACTAGCGGTAGGGAGCTACTAGCTAGGTTACCGGGCCCCAGGGGGGATGAACTATGTAGCACCCCCTGATTGGTAGGCTGATCTTAGTACTTCTTAGATCGCATGGATGATCTGACACGATACCGAAATCCACGAACGGGCATTGGTTTGTGAGAAGTACAATTCATCTCCCGAAACAGCCAAGTCTTTTACTCGACGATCACCTCACTCATCATGCAGCAACCCATTGCTTGAAGTTGCTGACCGGGTTGATCAATCCAAGATACAAAAGACAGATAGCAATTCAAACAAAGTGTCTTCTCTCGAAGTCGTCTTATGAGGTCCTTCGTGCAACAAGGCTTACACCCTGCATCCTTACGCAGGCAGTACAGCATGTTCTACCACACCGGAAAATACCCCGCATATCTCCAGACAGGGATCGTCCGGGTGGGTGTGCTGACTCCTCAGGCCATCATTGGTAGTTGGCTGTATACTGATTGAAAGTCATGGAGCACCAGTGTGACCAGACCACGCCCATACTTCCTGTCTACCTGAAACGGTTGCACATATGATGTCGTTAGAATGTGGTGTCGCCAAAATAATCACATCAGTCAGCGGAATGGTTGGCGTCGGAGGTCAAGAATGTAAGCGATGAATCACCTGGACCTGACCTGACCACCAAGACCAGACAATGAAAGGGAATCTTGGCCAGCATAATACAGCTTGACTCCGAATATCCGGTCCATCCCACTTCCTAAACATGCTTAGCGACAAGCCACCTGGTAGCAACTATTACCAAACACTACTAATAGTCCCCCATAGCAGGCCATCCCCATCTTGGCTTCCCCTTGCAGTCCGTCGGAAGTTGACACCGACACCTTGCCCATGCCTTGGTCGTCATCGCAACCACACTTACCCCATGTCGTGCTGGGTTGGTCAAATTCGTAATCCATCACGTAAAATTTTGGGCCTTCTGCAGTGAAACATGCATCAGCCGGTTATTCTTAATCGGCATTTACATTTGTGAAATAGATAGATCGAAAGAAGCTGGCTATACTAATTACCGATGGCCCAGCCCGCCAAGCCAGGGATCCCCAGCTAAACCCATCTATCCAACCGGCGGCGTGGCTAGCCGAACTCCCCCAAGCGAGCTCGCATTCCCCACCCTCTATTGGTCTGGGCCTCTCATAGTCGGGCCTCTGTGCTCCAGTCTTAAGCCCAGTACAATAAACTGACAGAACCGACTGACTCGCTTCTATCGGTCGGTTCCTGGTTATAACCAAGAACCTAATACCTAATTAAATTAGTGACAGGTTAGCTTGTTAGTAATCGGCATAGACGCCGGAAACATCAATGTCAAGGTCACTGCAACCCAAGGTACCTACAAGATGGCAAGTCGGAAAAGTACTATGGTTACAATCATGTACAGAATCATTACCGGGTAAATACCCGCGGATACCTGGATCACGAGACACGTTAGGGACCCGAGTCGCTCACGCCAGCATGACACCACTTGACACCTGCGCACGCAAGCAGCAGCACATAGTTCGGTCGGACGATGTGATCCGTGGATTAGTGCGTTGGACAATACGATGGCAGCTGGGTGGGGACTGGAACTACTACAATGACTGATGTGGCGGGAATCCAAAGGTATTATTGTAAGGCTGACTGAGGGTGGGGAGGGGAGATGGCATCCAGAGGCTGGATTTGGGGAGGTCTCGTTTTGGAATTGTTTCTTAAGTTAACTGGCGTGTGGGAGATATACGAGTACGAGGAATAATTGTAAATTGCGTCTGGTGAGTATATTCATTAATGGGTCATAGTAATGGGAATTATGTGGGCTAAATGATACTCCAAGATGAACAATAATTTGGAATGTAATTAAGTACTAGAACTGACCGCTTCAAAATCGATTGGATGCTACTGGATGGTTCTATGCGTGCTGGATAGTCTTCTTTCATTGGCCAATGCCGGGGTTGCTTCGTTGTTTTTCTTCTCGCTCTTGCTATTCGTGCATACAAGGGCCTAGTCTTCTTGGTGCTTAGCATCGCTCTTCACATCATCACTAACCTGTTCTGTTCTGAACTGTCAATGCAGCAGGCACGATGTCGGCAAGAGCACTCATTGTTCCCCAAGTAACACCATTATCCTCAATTACACTGCCAAGTTGACAACCAACAAGGTGACTGTTCCATGCCTACAGGTGCTCTTCCACTCTCTTTTCATATCGAGAGTGGTGGCCACTAAAGCTCCAAATATAATGGCTCCTTGCGAAGTGTTACCATCTTCACTCTTTCATTGTTCCAGCAATCTTGTCATGAGGCTCCACTAAATTACTTTGGCTGTCTGACAGTATTGATTTTAGCCTGCAGAGGGTGGCAAGATGCTCTTCTATACTGAATTTCTGATTGTGTTCGTGTCTCGGAAACCTGGCCTTCCGATCAGATAACTGCAGATGGCCCCATTATCGGTGAAGAACTTTACCTTCTGGATGAAATTGATGAGTGTACGTTGGGACGTTGTCTGTCCAGGATCAATGCCTTCCAAGCACACGTGATGCTACAACGAGGACCATTAGGACTCACGTCTGAACGATCTTGGCTCCCGAAAACCGAATTTCTTTCCGGAGTTATTATGACAGCGCGGACTTGGGCAGAGATTTTGCCAGAGCTTTCCCTTGGCACTGTGATCCACAAGTCCACCTCCTTGGAGAGTATTGCTTCACTGCTGTCATGGTGGAGGTTACAAAGTTGATGCGGACCGCCACAAATGAGGCTGTGCTAGCTAAAGGCAAGGGGCACATCCTTGTCCTTCAGCCTCGCCAACTCATCAAGCGACCGTCAGAACGATTGCTGACTGACTTGGTCGATGAGGCTGGCTGCCCTTGAAGTCTTCACGCATTGCTTCCGATTCCATTATTCCACTAAAAGGTTAAAGAGCACTATTCGCATTCAAGACGAAATATCTGGGCCAATTTCCACTATGCGTCTGCTGAACACGTGTTTGTCTGACACCGGAGACTTCTTGATCCAGGAGTTTTTCGACTATGAATTACCGCCGTACGCGATTTTGTCACATACCTGGGGCGAAGAGGAAGTCACTTATCAGGAAATCAACGCCGTCAGCGCGAAGGAGAAGAGCGGATACAAGAAAATCATACAGTGCTGCTCGGTAGCAAGGGCAGACGGGTACAAGTACGTCTGGATCGATACATGTTGCATTGACAAGACCAGTAGCGCGGAGTTGTCGGAGGCAATCAACTCCATGTATCGGTGGTACCAAACTTCTGAGCTATGCTACGCCATCCTTGCGGACGTACAATCTGAAGATGAAATCGACAAGAGTAGATGGCTTACCAGAGGCTGGACCCTTCAGGAGCTGATTGCTCCATCAAAGGTGGTATTCCTGAATGAGAGGTGGGAACTTCTGGGAGATAGAGCAACTCTCCGGGACAGATTATCTGAGTACACTGGGATTCCCGCCGGCATTCTTTCCGGAGACGAGGATCTCGAAACGTCTAGCGTCGCACAGAGGATGTCGTGGGCTGCGAAACGACAGACGCGGAGAGTGGAAGACCGTGCTTATTCCCTCATGGGCATATTCAACGTCAACATGCCGCTAATCTACGGGGAGGGCGAGAATGCGTTCATTAGACTTCAGGAGGAAATCATGCGCATTTCAGACGATCAAAGTCTTTTCGCATGGGCGTCTTCTGATGATCGCGGCGGGCTTCTCGCCACCTCTCCTGCCGCATTTGTCTATTCCCATAACATTGTGCGATTCAATCCGGTTGGCAGTCTCGATAGCCCTTTCACTGTGAATAGTAGGGGGGTGCATTTAGATATTGTCTTCGCAGGAATATCAGGCGACGGCCTAGGTCTCGCAATTCTTAACTGCAAGGAAAGAACCTGCACACAAGGAACCCAGCAAGACAAGGTAATAGCCATTTACTTGAGGGATTTAGATTTCACTATGAGTGAATTTAAGAGGGTTCATAGCGGTTCTTTCCGACATATCGATCTTGAAACCTCTCGACCGATCCAATATCTTGTGAGAAGAATTTGTGTCCGAGGTGGTCGCACGATGCTCATGCGCAAGCGAGTCGCCGCCAAACAAGACGACATCTCCCCAGAAAATATCCATCTTTATGACGAGGTCATACTGCCGACCCATTACATAGACCCAGCAGCATTATTTGTGGCCACGGAAGCAGGAATTCAAGGTGATGTATGGTTGCTGTTGACTCGAAGTAAGGTCGGGATAGAGGCAAAAAATTTGCATGGTCAAACACCTCTATCATTGGCCGCAGAGCATGGACAGGAAGACATTGTTCATATGCTTCTTCAGAGAGGCGCCTCGATCGAGACCAGAAACTATGACAGTCAGACACCGCTATCATTAGCTGCAGCGAATGGGCACGGACGTATTGTCCAGATGCTTCTTGAGAGAGGCGCCGCAACTGAGCCTGATAATCCGAATGTTCAGACACCACTATCCTTAGCTGTAGAAAATGGACATGAAGACATTGTTCAGATGCTTCTAGAGAGAGGCGCTGAAATTGAAACCAAGGATCAGTGGGGCGAGAATACACCGCTGGCACTGGCTGCAGCAAAGGGATATGGAGGCATTGTTCAGATGCTTCTAGAGAGAGGCGCTGAAATTGAAACCAAGGATTTGTTGGGCAAGAAAACACCGCTGGCACAGGCTGCGGCAAAGAGATATGGATTCATTTTCCAGAAACTCCGTAAGAGAGCAGGTGCAAAGGAAGCTAATAGCCAGTGGCTTCAGATACCATTGCTCGAGGCTACACGGAATGGGCATAAAGATATTGCCAAAATGCTTTATGACGCCAAACTCAAGAATAAACATTCGATGCTTCGGTGAACACCGCTATATGGCTTCAGCGAATGGACTTGAGGTATGATCAAGATGCTGTTGGGGTAGAAGCGTGAAAACTGAAAATGGAGATCAAATGGGTCGGCGGTTAGTGATGCCCGGATAGGCTTATAACTGTTAACCTGCTTCATCCCACGAGCAACTGGCTTTTTGTCAATTGTGGTTCATTCACTGTCATGCTGTAGAAGATCTGTACTATATCAAGTTCTTGGAGACTGTTAGATTTGCTACCAACGTGTGATGCTAAGAGGACGACGCTATAACTGTTACATTTCGGGAAATCTGCCGTTCCTTTTTTTTTTTTTTTTTTTTTTTTTTTACGTGTTAGACAACTGCAGCCAGCCCTCGTTCCAGTCCTCAACACCGATGAAGCGCAGGAGCTGCAGGCTGCACTCTCCCGCCTGTCAAACAAAATTATCCCTCCAGAAGGCCATCCACCTCTTCAAAAGCCGACAAATCAAGAGAACTACATTAGTTAACCACTCAGTCGGAGATAAATGGCCGCAGTCCGGAAAATAGCAGCCGAGACGGACCAAACATGCAATTGCCGACAGTCTTGAATCTAATTTCCAATCCATCTGGGCACGATTTATCATCGGCGAGATGTCGGAGATACGACCATGTGGTAACATCTCCGGAGACGTTGCTTTGAACAGCTCCGGATCCGGACTACACGGTACTTAGGTCCGGAGATACGGGGTGTCATCGCCGAGCCCGATCGTCGGCGGAACAAGACCAGCTAGCTGTATACATCCGAGACCGCTTTGAACAACAAAGCAGGCTGACATGGGTGGGAACAATTGCCTCATCTTGTCGGGGAGATCCGACTTATCCGAGACTACCCGTGCGGATACAACGGAATATGCATTTGTGCAGGTCGATCTAGCGTACTTGTCAAGCAATCCAGTCTTTATGTAGCTCCCGGTTCTGCCCAAATCCCGACAATCTATTGCTAGCGGGCTCTAGTGGTTAGGTACGCTAATCGATCGACCGTTTTGTCTTCAGTAGTAACATGATTGAGCATGCACTGAAGGAGTTTCTGATCCAATATATATCCGAAATACTTAAGTCATACATGCATGGGAAAGAAGAAAAATACACTACCAGATCTAATTACCCGACGAATTAACACGGGCCTGGGATCTCAATGGCAGACACGATCAGATATAGAAGTACAAATCAAACTGGATTGTTCAGATGAATGAAGAATCATGAGGCCTTGTAATACGTTTATATAGTTACTGGCTACAGTCTCGAGTCCCTTTAAAGACTTATCAAGTATACGGCGGACTGAACTTCCAACAGTTGATCTAGACATCAGAGCATGTCTTCATCTAAAAGTCAAACATCATCTCATTCCCCCCTCTCAACTTAACCACAATACCATGTCAATCTCTTATCATCCTTTTGCCAAATGATTATTCCCCAGAAACACAACTCACACCAAACAATCAACCCCAACCGGCGCACCAACACCCTCCGCAATCAACGAATACCCCTGCACCCTATGCAGCTTGGTATAAACCGACAACGCAGAGCGCAAAACCAAACACATCGCCTTACCAGGATAAACCCCATCAAGCTCCAGACCGGCAAAGCAAGGAAGTTTCCGCATCCACGCCCTCAAGTCCCTCACCTCCTCAGTAGTCAACCCCTCCGTAACACTCACACTAAACAGTACCATGCACACCGGTACAATAGTACCCGGATCAACAGTCCCAGATCCACTAAGCGGCAAAACAACCGACCCAACACCAACCAGCAATGTATGTGTAGGACGGAGTTTATCCCTCTCTCCATGGGACTTCAAGGTTTGATAAACGTCAGAAAACTCTATATATGTATGTCCGCTCCGCTGTCTGCGAGAGATCTCCTCCGCCAGCTTAGCGGTGAATGTATTCTCGGGTGAGATTCTATTCCGGGGTGTTTGTGTGCTTGTTGCTGAGAGGATCTCCACTACCCTGTTTGGGATGGTTGGGGCCCGAGTTGGTATATTACCCATGTAGCAATGGTCGAGGATGAGTAGTGTGTCTAGATGGACTGCTCTGATGTCTTTGAATAGACAGGTGTCTGCGTTGACAGTCTTCTCGGAAGTAGTGGTAGCGGTAGCGGTTTCAGCGAAGGTAAGTTGTCCCTTTTTTGTAAAAGCGTGTCCTGCGTAGTGAACTATTAATAGGGTATGGTCATTTTCATGTTTAGTTCTGGGTTTGAATTTGGCGATAATGTCATGAATGGCCTTTTGGAATGGGATATTGGGGTTTGGGTGTCTGTGGCTGTGGCTGTGGCAGATGATGTGCTCGATGGCTGGTGGGAGGTTCAGGGCTTTTAGGATGTTTTGGAAATATGGGGTCACTTTGTGGGCTTTTGTGTCGTCTTTTTCCCAGCGTATTGTTATTGAGGTGATGGTTGTGTAGGTGTAAATTTGTTGGGTTGTTACTGCTTGGAGTGTGGTTTGGAATGCGGTGGGGCTGATTGGGGACATTTTGGGATGTGGTGATGTATTGGAGGTTGGGTGTTGAGTGGTTTGTGAGTAGGTAGGAGGTGTACTGAGTTAGGGTATCGCAGTCGCTATGGTGCTTGTTTGGTAGTTACTTTCAGAGTAGGCGGATGAAAGAGAGAGGGAAAGGGGAAAATTTAGAAGCCATGTTGAGAAGATTCTGCATCCTGATAGTAATTTGAATCTTTCCTAACTATGACGATGTTTGATATCATAATTCTTCGAATGATATTCTAGCCGGGTAACGGGTGATAAAGTATAAGATTATAAAAAAGGAAATGAAAGGAGAGAAAGTTAGGATAATGGATGAGTAGATTTATCTCTGATAATTGTACTGAGAAAGAAGAGCGTCAATACTTACATTCGGAGCATTCATCATGCAGGAGTAGGTATTTGGTTTCATTCTAGATGGTCAGTGTTGGTATATAGTCTTCATTGATGCTAGATATTTGTCCTCGTGTTGATGTTTGGATGAGCTCCTATTCACTACTAAATTACACATATTGCATATTTTCTGCACAAAGTTGTTTCTTCCATCTGCTTCACCCTATGACAATCATGTAAATCCTCAAAAGTCAGCGAGTCAACTAATATTCTATACTGGAATGTGGCACACTCTGAATGCTAAGCTAAGAAGTCATTCATATAAGAATTCCAGTAAAGGTACTACTAGCTTTCAATATCTCATTTGCGGAAATGGACTAGAGGGAATACTATATGAGTACTGTCCTCTATCTGAGAGCTTCTTTCTGCTTCGACTCAAAGAGTATACCGTTTTGGGTCTGATCAGTAGTAGTATAATCCAACATAGGTTGTGGGCATTGGGGCAAAAGGGTGGCGATCACAGAATAAATAGAAAACTTCTGGCCGTGGATGACTCTTTTATTCTGATATACTTTCTATCTCCATTCCCCATGACTCTGGAGTATTCTACGTTTACTAGATTCGTCAACACAGCTACAGATAATATAGCTTCTAGCGAAATGTCATTCTAGAATGAGAAGATTATGATTAAGTACAACAAAGCAATAGCTCACTTGTTTAAACCCCTTCCAGTATCCATCTTGAAAGTAGATATCCTGAGCGCAATGCCCTTGCCCCGTCACAAATATCCAGAGATATCGCCCACAACTACAGCAAAGATCCAGCGCCTATTCAACCACGCTCCCTCGACTCGAATCCAGCATTCACGAACGGCCGATTCCTCGACAGCGACCAAGACGGCGTCAAAGTGCCGTTAGAATTCAGAATCCAGTAGAACTCCTCAGCTTCGCTGCCTATTTGGCCAACCGTAGATCTAGGTCTCTTCCTAGCAACCACCTCCAAGGCAATATCATCTTTCCGGTCCTTGATAAATCCTCCGCGACGCACAAACTCCGAATCCCCCACCACCACCGCCCCCTTCTTACTCTCCTCCCAAAGCTTCTTCGCATGTTTACAACCCCAAAAGTGCACCAGAAACGAAGACTCCGAGTATACCTTATCTCTGGACGCAGACAAAGATCCGAAACTTCTCTCGTCAGACGATACCTGCTCAAACCGCCATTGACAGCCCCTGCACGAGACCCCACGATCAATCTCCCCAGTCTCCGGATCCACCCAAGGCAGTGCAATAGTAGCCATGCACCATCGCAGGAACATCTCCCCACTGCGGCGAGACGTATCCGACCAGGGAAGGCCGCGTTTGTGGTTAGTGCTGAGCTCGCGGACCGCTTTATCGTGCACAAGCGAGTGGCGCATTTTGCGCTCCGTTTCTTTCATGCCATACACCCCGGGGAGTGATTTCAAGATGGGCACGTTTTCGCGGCGCAGAACTGCTGGGCTCACTCCATAGAGATTGTGAGCCTCGGAGAGGGTGATTAGCTCGTAATCGCGCTCGAAGTGGAAGCGGCGAGTGGTCGGGTCAATGACGTGTTGGCCAACTCCGGATTTCGTGCGGACACATGAAAAGCAACATCTGGTTAGGTTGGGAGGGAGAAGTAAGACGAATCCGCCGAAGTCGGCGCCGCAGATCGTGCACTCGCGTATGTGGAGGACGTCGAAGATGTCGTCCAAGGTGTACCATTTTGCTAGACCGGTGCGGAGGAGTGCACATACGAGATCTTGGGCGTACATCATGGCTTTCTGGTAAGGTTTGAAGGTACTGACGATGTCGCGGGTACGGGCGTTGACTTGGCGAAGCCCAAAGAGAGTCTTGAGGTCCAGGCCCAGGAGACATTTGTGGAAGATTTCGACCGGCAGGTGGTCCAGAAGGCCGGGCTTCGCTGGATTAAATGGGCGGTTGAATGCATCCCTGATGCCAGGTAGAAGTTTCTCGATTTCAGAGGGTCTGATACTAATTACCGCCAACTCGAAGTCTCGGCGGTGGTAACTTGTTGCACGAAGAATGTCTGCTTCGCTGAATTTTTCTTGGACAGACTGGTTGTTCGCCATTTTCGTTGGTGATGCAGGTCCCTGTTAGGTGGGCTGACCAATAGCTGGATAGGATATGATCCCTGCAGGCAGTATGCAGGTGCCTTATATGCTAATCAGCAGTAATGAGGGTATGCTCTAAGCGGGATACTTGCGGTGGAAAGCAGGCAGTATCCAGAGGCAGTTGAAGATATTGCAACAGTCAAGAATTTCCGTGGAAGGAAGAACACGTCCGTAGGAGGAAGCTAACACACGCACTCTTATTTTACAGCCACCGTTTTAATTGTCAAGGTGCGACAAGACGACCGTTCCAAGTAGTGAACGGTTGTGACCGGCTGAACTGAAAATTGGGCAAGCATGAGTGGCAGCGGAGCCATGATGCATCAGATAATTGCGAGGAAATGGGAACTTCAGATATTGCATGGCTCATGTAGGGGTATCAGTAATATCTATATCCAGGCTTGAAAGAGATGTGATATAAATACAAAAAGTATAATCATGTAGACTTCACCCATGATTGTTGATTGAACAAAGGCATGCACTTGATCCGAACGGGTGGCTCCTTCTCCCACACAACCATTTCCTTACCCGCTTTGTAGTCTGCACTTTCAAGAACATTGTGTACGTATCCTTGGCCATTCTTGGCCTCACGAGTTGCTTTGTACTCATACGCCACATTCACTGAAGGCACTGCCAGGATCTTTCCCAGTCCTTGGCCCCACATGTCTTTGGCCAGCAACGTGGGCTCGCCCATATGGCACTCGCCGTCTTTGTGATTGCGGAACTCAAGCTTTCTTTGAACAAAGGGCGCCGCATCCAGGATGACCATGCCACCCCAGCATGAATAGACCTGCACCGGCAGCTTCCTTGCATATCGCTGTTGATTTGGCTGGTCATCGAAGAACATATCCTTGGTGAGCCAGTACCGTGCATCATGAGTGATTTCGAAGAAGAGGTTGCCAGACATGCTGCGCGATACCCACGAGTCGTAGAATGGCCCACCGGCGGCATTCCAGTCAAAGGCACAAGTCATGCGCGCGTCCTGCTTCTGGTGCTGATACAACAACTCGAGCAGATCTTCTACGCAGAGGACGACGTCGTTGATGAACAGGATCGTTGCGTCCGCTGCATATGGCTTGAATTTGCCCGCTCCGGCAGAGACTAACGGCTGAAGAGCCTGGTTGCGCAGGGTCGAGAGGTGCTTGATACGGTCTTCCCATACAGCTTTGGGGTTGAGATCGCTGGTAGAGAGATAGTATCTCACGCCCATGGCGGCCATCTCGCTCTTTAACCGATTGAGAATATCATAGGTCCCGTCGGTGGAACGACCCTCGACGATGGAGAGAGCGCAATACTCGGGACCGAGGAAGCGCATCGTCTCGACGATAGTGCCCATCAAGGGAAGCATAATGTGAGCGGATTGATAGAGATCCAGAGCGAAGAAATACTTGATCTTGGGTTTAGAAAGGAAGCTCTTGGATGCGCGAACCGGGAGATCGGCATAGCGCGGGCTGATGGTCGCAGGACATTCCAGCTTCGCAGACAGACTCATATCGTGGGTCATGATGCTGCATACAAAATCATCGACAGCGCTGCCATTGATGGGCAGTTTGGCGGTGAGGGTCTCATCCAGAACATCTGCTACCGTCGCGGGGTTGAAGCCATTGCAGGCGGAGATGGCGGGAACGGCGGAATCGAGATCATCTTCGTAATTCGATGCGCTGAATCCAGCGGAGGCAGATGGCGACCACTCAAAGGAAATGTAGAGGAAGAGCAGGAAACAGAGGGAAGCGGTGGAGACGGTCAGCCGGAAGAGCTGCGTCTGCACCTGTCGGACATTAAAATTCATGTTGGATGTGATGCAGGAACCATCCAGGGCGGAGATGCGAAATCAACGAGCGACAGTGGCAATGCGACGCATATTGTAGGCGATAAAAGGGGGAGGGGGGATAAGCAGCTGAAGAGAGGTCAAGAGGGGCAAGCGGAGATAAATACTTGTAAAAAAGCTTCGGCGATGTGAAGGTTCTTCCTGACTTCCTCCATATCAGCAGTGGGGCACCCAATGCTGACTAGTAGATAGTTCGGTGGGAATGATTTGATCCGTTCGTTAAGCTTTGGGTGATGGCGCCTTCTCTCTATTAATTTCTCTCTCTATCATGCTAAATTAGTAGCTGCACGACCGAGGAATCGTGGGTGCCTGAACTGGATTCCCTCGGAACACCCGGATTGGTTAGGGTATGGAAGTGGCGATAGCGTGAAGTTTTCTCCGGTTGTGCAATCATGCCCCCCTTTCCAACCCTGTAGAATCAGTCGATTGATTGGCACCAACCAACTCAATCATGCCAACGCACTAACCATGGTACAGCCCAAAGCCAAGGGGAGAATCCAAATGTCGGCAATTTGACCACGAGGCTGCTGATAAGCCACTAACTCTTTTAGCCTCGCTTTAGCTCGACCCGAAGCTTCCGAGGCCCCATTCACTCTCCGAATATTTTTGCCTGCCTGCCACCATCAGCAGGATACTATCACCATCGATAGTCTTGATTATCTTGCTATGGTGAGAATTGTTGGTTTACTGATGGTGATAACCCCATATGATGATATGATTCTCGGGGAGAAGATTCGATTCGAACCGAACCGAACCGAACCCACAATTCGTTTGCCTTTTTCCTCAATCTCACTCTCTCTGATGACTGCCGATCGTCCCTGCACTAAGCATAGCGAACCATTTATTCATCCAGAATGAGCAGGGATGATCGGTTCTCATTAGGGTCTATTTCAGCTCTCTCTATTTCCGGTTCCGGTAGTTGACGAGATCTATCTAATTCTAATTATGGGATTTTCCTCTTGCTGAAGAATGATCCACTCTGTGATCGATCTGGTGTCGATGCCGGAATTTCATCGGAATTTGACTTTTTTCTAAATCTTGTGGCTGAGATAGTGTTTGTTTGACGGGTGGAGATGTCTTAATCCCACATTTAGCTCATCACATTGATATATTATACTCTTTCTCTGAAGGCAGAAATATTAGAAGATATTCAGAAATCTGCAGAAAGTCACATCTCCCTCAATCTATCCAGCAAGAACCGGAACGTAAAGTTCTTGATCCCAGCGGAAACTTCCAGTCTTTCCAGGTATCGGTACACCTTGGCCTCTAAACCATTCAGTGTCTCTTCGGTGAGCTGCATTATTTTCTGATCACGCATTTCATCCAAGATCAGCTGTTTCAGATCAGCTGGCAGCTTGTTGTTCCTCGCTCGTTCCTGCTGGATATTCTCGATCAGTGCCGCGTTCGGCGACTGTGTCAAAAGGTGAATCAATGGAAGCGACAATTTGCCTTCGTCGAGATCCTGAGCGAAACCCTTTTGCTCTTGATACTATAATTCCAGTTATATGTTGTTAGAAGGATGGATTTTTAGATTTGCGTGTTGAATATTTACCTTGGTTGATGCCAGATTAATATAGTCGTCTCGAGCCTGGAAATATTGACCCAGAGAGATCATAAGATCGTTTAGATCAGTTTGCTTGATAGCTCTGCTTTTTTGTTGGTACTATTATGTCTGCAGGGGGATATTCCTCTACTTACCCAGCTGAAAATGACCCTTGGTTAGATAATAGATTGCTCGCGAGGCAAAACAGCGCCCCGGTTTCTGTTAAATTCCCTTAAGTATCAACACGGGATGTGATCATGGCTGTACAGAAACTTACTCAACCGATTCATTTCCAGGTATTCTGCAATCGAAGGGCGATATCCAGAGCGTGTCCAGTAGAGGTCCATCGCTTGTCCAACATGAAGGTTGCGCAGCTCGTCTACCTCTGTCAGCTAACATATAATCATCATCATTCTGGGTAGAATCTAACCGAAAAATACGTGTGAGCTGTCTGGCTTCATCAGTGGGACAACCTTCTCAAACGCAAGTGTAAGTGCATGGGTTGCAGCATTGATGGTTTGTGGTACCCCAAAGACGCGATAGGCAGATGGCCGACCGCGTCTGAGCTCTGAGCTATCCTGGATGTCATCAAGTAGTAGCGATGACTCGTGAAGATGTCCGATCAAGTCTTCCACCTGAGCTGCTGCCGATTCCGGTGCGTTGAGCCATAGATTCAACGCTTGGATGATGGTGCCTCTTATGTTCTTCGATGGTACGCTCCGAAGATAATCAATCGGCTGATGAAGTACCTGTTCGGGAAAAGTGTCAGCTTCCCTGTTTGTTCGCGATAATGAGTTATAAGACATTCTCTTAGGCGACAAACCTTATAGTATGGGTCATCTGTCATTGCCTGCAGACTCTCAGTGGACTCCAGGATCCGATTTTTCCTGCCCCTCAAAGATTGGGTGTTCAAAAAGGTAGCACAGGTTGCTGTGGCCTCATCATAATCGAATAACTTAGCAGGCGGCAGTTGGAGCAATTCAGCCCATCGATGGAAGCGATCAGCAATAGCATGCCAATACCAGTTTCCAGACAAACCTAAACCAACCATTTCCAGGAAATAAATAATATCGCCTGACTTGGGTGTCAGCGGATTCATGTTGGCCAGGTACTCGGCCTTTTTGGCAATGAACTCTCTTTCCAAGGGCAATATCTTGTCTTTCACCAGGAATTCTTTTGCCTGCGAGACACTCAAGTTCAGTGTTTTCATCAGATACCAGACAGAGTTTGGTGTTGTGATAGTCGTATCCGTATCTGTGTCGGGTTCCAAAATCACCTCCCTATTGAAGCTATACAGATCATTAACCAGCGCCGCTGCAGCAGTCGCAGGCGACCAAATTTCTTTTAACGCCTGGATATCACCCTGCGTCAGGTCCAGCTCGCAGCAGTAGATAATCGACATGATATTGAGCCTGGTTCAGTCTCAGTAATGTATCTTCCCGTAATAAGGCATATACTAGGTGTCTAGCAAACATACTCTGCCCCATAATCGTCGGCCCGATACTGCACTAAGTCGTCCCAGGTTCTGAGGTCACGCGAGCCGATCGTTCCGTGGACTCGAGATAAATCGTTGATAGCTCGAAGAATGAGGTTCCCGCGTTTTCTGTCGATCTCGAGAAGACGCAAGAACACTTCGGATTGGATCTGTTTCATTGCGCTGATTCGAACGCGACTCGTCGTTCCTTTGCGCACTTCCCATCCAATAGAGTCTGATGACTGCTCTTCGCCAGTCTGGTTAATAATTAGCGAAAGCTTCTTATATATATAATTAAGCGATTCGGTGCTATTTTGTTCAACGTCTAACCATACCTTGGCACTTCCTGGGGCAGTGAGAACGTCTATCGCATCAAGATCTCAGTTAGTACATATGCTCATGAAAGAGTAGGATATCAGAAAGATCTCTAACCGTCATAAGCGAAGAAATACTCAATGAGCTTGGCAAAGATCTCAACACGATCTTGTTTAGTTTCAGGAGGAAAGAAGACAGTGACAGGGCCCTGCGGCGAAGTTGCACCACAGTACGCAAATCCGACCTCTTCCTGCCACTGCTGCTGGAACTCGAGGACCGCTTTCTCTACCAGAGGACTGTACTTGCTTTTACGAACAGGAAGGGTAGTTGCACATACACGAGCAACTTCCTCCCTGTCAACGAGCTCAGAATGAATAAATGAAATATCGACTGGTGACATTGTCTGAAGTATAACAGTCTGTTTTGGCAACGAACTAGTTTATGTGTGAGATGATGAGCAACGGTATCCATGACACCAGGCCCTCCAGGACGGTGTACTGCTTATATACCCTATGAGCTGGTAATCGAGGAGCATAACCTTGTAGTTTCTCTCGAAATACACCGTTCATGATACTCCGTACTCCACCACAGTACATATTCGGCGGCTATTTTCCCCCTAACTTTCAGGGGGTTGAAGGACCCTCAAGAGAAAGCTTCCCAAATGTGGAAACGAGCATCGGCTATTGTCAGCTGATAATAAGTCCAGAACGGTAAGAAACGTGGCTATTGACAGTAATAGTCTCAAATGATGTTGCCTACTAGTAGTCACCATCTCTTTTTAGTCCATGGGTGGTCATTGCATGAAACCAAGTGTCTGTGCATGCCGCATTGGGGTCGCGGTATTTTTAAGTCTGATATATTAGACGATTGGAAAAGCAAATAACATCAATATTAAACTTAGACGTAACTCAACCACAAAAAGTAAACATGACAACGGAAGAAGGAATCTACTCATCTGAAGATTACAGACAAACGTCAGAGCTGCCCTCTGTATGAGGATGGTTTCATTATAATTTGTTTTGAGACACAGGTCTCTTGCAGTCCAGTGATTATGGTGAAAGGATCAAGCTGAACTCAAAAGAAACTTTGTCTCCATTCCTCAGGCTTTCCTCACCTGTTCAAGTTGCAATGATGAAGGTGACTGCTTATCGAACAGTCAGGCGATCGACACACCGGGCAGGATGCATTCCAGAAAAAAGAAATAAAATTGACATTAAAGCAACGCTCTGACTTACCAGAAAGAGATATCAGATATGAGCGGTGAAACCTATTGGGAGCCAATGAAGCATGTCCTTGTGAAAGCTACTAATGCTCGGAGGGCGTGACCGTAGCACCTGAGTCAATGCAAGAACATGATGTTCATTCTTGGATATGGCATGTCAACCTCTCCGGAGTTTATTTCGGTATATTCTGTGATGCAAGATCTACCAGCGTTTGAGGGCTCCTATAGTCGATGGCTTGTTCTTTTGTAAAACTCTATAGTAAAGAACTAAGCTGAAAATTGAAGTAGTTGCCGTATACAAACTACATATTGAATCAGATGATTGTATCGTGGTGGCTTTGGGGGATACCTTTTCTATTCATTTCACGAATCGTCGATATTCATGTACTGATTGTATGCGATTATCATTTCGGGATGTGGTTTCGTTGAGTCATGGGCCTGCAGACTCGCGCTCTCAACATCCATATCCGTCATGCTACGAGCCCAACCATTTAGGTTCACACGGAACCTTTCCTCGCTTCAGTCATCAGGATTGTCATTTGAGTAATTGCGGCCAGTGCACTAAGATCTGCACTAGGGGCCCGTTCACCCTGGCATCCCTCCCAAGGCTTCGTCACGGAACCTCATGCCTTCCTGCTCTGTTCGGTGCTACAATACCGACTCGCGTGGATAGTGAGCACGAGTTCAGTAGATTCTCGTCTAAAATCATCTATCTGCAATATCAGTGAGGCCAGCTGATCAGCACTTGTGGCCATGAAGCACGAAATAGTTTCTATTTGGCGGTCGATCATCCCAGCAGAATGGGCACTCTTGCCCTTTTTCTTCTACTGATCTGCGGTTCTCAATTGGATCCGTTACACATGAAGACCAGCTGAAACCTTCTATCACTTCTACAGTATGTGAACTATGATATTGGCTCTATCTCTCCTTCCATCCCTCAATGATGGCCTTAGTCGAGAGAATCTCCAGTATTACAATGAGTAGCGGCCAAACTGCGTTCCTGGATGACGTCAATCCAGTAACACTCCTCTCACATGCAATATAGCGATGATTGTTCCAGGACGTAAGCCCAGGAGGTTTGTTCATCATACTGTTAACCCGGGAGTTCATTGCCAACAATAGAGGTATTCACGGGGACTGATAAAATCAGGCAATCTGCGCGACGAATGTAGGAATGTGCAAACGTCTGTAAAGTGTTACCAGGGAAAATCTCAGCCAGAATCCCATCTAGCGGTTTAATTAGCTCTACTCTGAAGCGTTTCTTTCTCGTCCTTCACAGAAACACCTGTCTTCGTTACAGCAGCCTTGGTTCTTTGACTACTCTAAGGAATAAAAACATGAATGCATATAATATGAATATATATAGGTCCTCCATATGGTGATTGGTTGGTGTTGTAAGAGATAATGGAGGATCAGGTGGTGCCTGGCTACAGTGAATATCTCAACAATTAGTATTTCTGGCAATGCAGAAACATGCTCCCCGGTTATTCAGCACTTTTCTTTCTCTCCAATGCCATCTCCACCTCCAGAAAATACAAACAGACTATTCCCCAACAGTACTAGCTACCCACAATATCTGTCTGCCTACCACCAAAACAAATGACATCACACCAACCCTCCCCTCCCACCTTCCAAATCTAAAAATACCCCAAGGCTGTGTGCCCACTAACCCCAACACAGTAAAGCGTGTGAAAAGGACCCCTGAACCCCCGCGCCACAACCGGGCGGTGCCGCATATATTCAACAACCACAACAGCCTTATATGCTTGCTTGCTTACCACTCAGCAAATAACCATCACTCAATATCATTCCTTTCATTATCCTTCCCTCCCATCCTCATAGTCCATATTCAATACTCCATATCCCATAATGTCCACCTACACCATCGCCAGCGGCGACTCATTATGGAAAATCTCCCAAGACCACGGCGTCACCCTCGACGCTCTCAGAGCAGCCAACCCGCAGATCACCAACCCAGATCTTATCTATCCGGGGCAGCAGCTGAATATCCCGGGGTCTGATCAGTCTCAGCCTCCTCCTCCGGAGAGTCGTGGAATCACCAACGATGGCGCTAGCCACTTCTCACCTTCTGATCCTCCTATCCACCTTGCTGTCTGTCCTCCGGGGCCGCCGGTTGTTCCAAGCGCTGCTGGAGGAGCACCGCCCGCGGTTCCCCCGCGTCCTCCGATGGCCCGTCCGCCGCCTCCGTGGATTAATGTCGGGAGACCGGGGTATAAGACTGTCGGGTATTTTACTAATTGGGTAAGTTAAACACGACCTTCCCTTACTATATTTTTCTGGGTATCAATCAGTGTGATAATATGAAACTAATGGATTGTGGCAGGGCGTCTACGGCCGTAATTACCAACCTCAGGATATTCCTGCGGAGTATATCACTCATATTCTCTGTACGTGCCGATTGTATTGTCTCTATTGAACCTTGTTCTTATTCTAACAATCATCAATAGACTCCTTCGCCAACATCCGCCCGACCGGTGAAGTGTACGTCCCCTTCCCATCCCGAAAACTAATTTCCCAACTAACATCTGTAACTGTAGCTTCCTAACCGACACCTACTCCGACCTCGAAAAGCACTACCCCAACGACAGCTGGTCCGAACCCGGCACCAACGCCTACGGGTGCATCAAGCAACTCTACCTCCTAAAGCAACAACACCGCCACCTGAAAACCCTCCTCTCCATCGGCGGCTGGACCTACAGTCCCAACTTCGCCGCGCCAGCATCCACCCCGCGCGGGCGCGAAACCTTCGCCCGGAGCGCCGTGCACCTCCTCGCGGACCTAGGCTTCGACGGCATTGACATCGACTGGGAGTATCCGGCCGATGCATCGCAGGCAAAGGACTTTGTTATCCTACTAAAGGATGTGAGGCGCGTACTAGACGAGTACTCCGCTACCCACCTCGGCGGGAAAAGGCTGTTATTGACGATCGCGGCGCCATGTGGGCCGGATAATATCCGGAAACTGCGGATCGGCGATATGGACCCGTACTTGGATTTCTGGAATCTGATGTGTTATGATTTCAGTGGGAGTTGGGATAAGAACTCCGGACATATGGCGAATGTGTTCCATTCGGGGAGGGGAGAGATTACCCCGTTTTGTGCGGATGGGGCGGTGACGATGTATTTGAACGGTGGGGTGAGGGATCCAAGGAAGATTATCTTTGGGTTGCCGCTGTATGGGAGGGCTTTTGAGGGGACGGATGGGCCTGGAGGTGGGTTCCAGGGGGTTGGGGAGGGGAGTTGGGAGAATGGAGTGTGGGATTACAAGGATTTGCCGCTGAAGGGGAGTCGGGAGGTGGTGGATCCGAGGTTGATGGCGAGTTGGTGCCATGATCCGGTTAATAGGAAGATGGTTAGTTATGATACGCCGGAGGTGGCGGCTATGAAGACGGATTATGTTGCTAATAGGCATCTGGGAGGGGCTATGTGGTGGGAGTTGAGTGGGGATCATCATGTCTCGCATGAGAGGAGCTTGGTTAGGAGGACTGCGGAGAGGTTGGGCAGGTTGGGTGGGTTGGATGGTACGGAGAATACGTTGTATTATCCGCTGAGTCGGTTTGAGAATTTGAGGAGGGGGTGTGCCTGATTCGGTCTATTTGTATTGTGTGAACGGTCTGGTTTATGAGTATCATTAGCAAGTCTCCTGTGGTTGGCTCCTCAGTATCCTAGAAAAGTGCTGCCAGATCGTCTCTCCGTCTAATGCACATGTGAATGCTATCAGCCCGTCCGGTCGGATTACCACTAGCATTCCTTTACGTGGATCGAGTTTGTAGGCGTAGTGTGCTATTCCCCTCGCATCGAAGTAGGTATCGCCAAATCCTGTCATCCCGAGCACCTCGTACGGCGAGCAGTCGGCTGAGCCGCACACTGTTAACCAGGCAATGGCAGGGTGCCTTGAAAGCTCCGGGTGGCTGTCCAAGTACTCCCGAAGAGGAACTAATTCCAATTTCGATGTCTTGATATCACCGCCTGTAAAGACTATCGCATGAAACTGGCACCGGTTCCGCAGAACTTGGTGCATCCGCACAGACTGGAATGTCCCTGGCGTGGTCAACTCGGTATCCGGAGCCCGGGTCCCTGGTTGAACCCCCACAGCCGCCTCGGTAGATGACTCCCAGGCTTGATTGATTACGTTGGCCTCGTAGGATATACCGAGACCCGTGTTGAATGGTGCAGCATTGTTAAATATTTCTCCGAGGAGAACGTTCGGGTCCGCGTTCGGGTCCCCATCGTACCAAGCCGGCCATTTATGCGTCATCAATAGGGAGATATCTTTGTCGTAGTTGAGTAGCCTCTGCACTGCAGACTGGCGCTCCGTTGTGTAGGTGTCCAAGACCTCCGGATGAGATAGCCCATGTACCTCCAAAGCCAGCTTCCAGGCAAGGTTCACGGCGTCGTGAATACCAGTGTTCAGGCCTTGAGCGGCGCCGCTGCTGTGGGTATGAGCCGCATCACCGCAGATAAAGACACGATTGTTGTGCGTTGCGAAAGTTCGGGCCATGCGCTGGCCGATTTTGTATCTTGACGATTCGTTAGTCAGATGTCTAGTGGCCTGCGTGGGTTGCTTACAATGTCCACCAGTGTACCTCTTTGAACTCTAGGCTGAAGGGCCGCAAGCACGCAATGGCTTCGTTCACAGCAACTTCCTCGGTTACCCCTTCCGGATATTTAGCTGCTATCTCGGGTGTGTATGCGTAGCCAATGCGGGTAGCGCCGTGGTCAAGAGGGGCCCAGAGAACATTCCCATGTGTTGTTGTTTCGATGGCCCTGTTCGCAGTCAGATCAGGTCAAGGTCACTCAATTAGGGTCTAGCTTACCCGTAAGCCCGATTGATAGGCATATTGGTCTCGACTATGCCATCAATGCGAATCCACTGATCTTCTGATGAATCACCATCGAAGGGAATATTGGCATATCTGCGAACGAGACTATGGCCACCATCTGCCCCAACAAGGTATTTACTAGTACTCAGTCAGTATTATGCTTCCTGTTGAATAGCCTTTCGTGTAGAAGGCATACCTTTTGGCTGTCATCATGCCACCAGGTCCTGAGCAATGCACAGTCACTGGGTACTCACTATCATCCAGGCCGATTTCAAATCCAACACACTCCATAGAAGCATGATAAGACACTCTTTTCTTATCTAGCCTCTCTCTTAATATATCCTCCGTGTACATTTGCCTCAGCACAAGGGCAAAATCAAACACTGTGCCTTGGATATTCTCCATGAACGTCCATACTTTTCCTGGAAACCTACCCAGTCTGGTTAGTCGGAGTATTGAGATAAGATCGAAAGGTATACTTGCTGTCTCACTCCATCTTTATACGTCACACTACTCCTGCAAGCAAACCCCTGTTGAAGCATGGGATGGACCAAGTCCAATTGATCGAGGAGCTCCAACGTCCGCGGAAACATTGTAATGGCACGGCCATAGCGGCCCTCCGGAGTATCTTTGTCTTGCTTTTCCACAAGGCAGACTGAAAGGTCGAAGCGGGTGAGTTGGTAGGCGAGGAGAAGGCCAACGGGGCCGCCGCCGATGATGGTTACATCGTAGATCTCAGGGGAGGGCATTTTTGCTGCAAGATAGTGCAATTGGTGTAAGAAGTCTGACAGGGCTCTGAGATGGTTGATATCATGTTGCTTGGTACGGAGTCAACTGATAGTGGCATTTTAGACGATCGACGCTTCGTGAGGGGTAAGATAGGATAAGTGTCCGGGGAGGGGTTGATAACAGAAGCATGACTAAGGGCGCCAGGTCTGTACCGCGGGTCATCAGCGGCTTAATCTGATCCCCTCTTTGTATGTTAGATTTTGGCTCGGTAACTGGTCAGTGGCGCAAAAGCTTTTCGATGCAGTTCTGGAAAAATGGCTACGCCCTGCTCACTCTTTTGAAGGGGCGTTCAATCCAGCCAGGGCCTGAGCAAGCAATGGGATGAGTAAGGTCTGCTTGAATATCACAATCAAAGCCAACATTGAGCTTTCCGAATGCCATAACCCAGGTTAGGGGAATAATTCAGATAGTCAAATAAATGTCAGCTCCATCTTTGTGCGCCCGTCCGAGCCAACGCTCAAATCAAAAGCCAGTCACGGCCCAAGTGACCAATTGAGAAAATCCAGTGTGAAGGTTCTGTACCGTCGCATCGCTGCCAGCGGTCTTCTATAATCTTGGAAGCATTAATCACATTCACGCACTTGGTTTGCTCCCAGAAACTTTCCATATAAGTCCGCACAGAGTCTCTTTGCTCCTGTCGTTGGCATTCAAGACCAGCGATTATTATGGGCCAGAGGATGCATTTGTACAAGGACTCGTCGTTCTGCAACCTTTCAATCGTGGCAAGCAACTCCTGGAGCAGGTCCTCCAGTGGTAAACACTCCTTAGTGAGAGCACCAAGGACGCGTTTTCCATATATTAGAGCTCCTATCTTGTATGATTGCGCCAATGTGCAAAGAGAGCTTGTATCTCTTGGGAGGGTGGTTCCCAGATATGGTAGCGACGAAGCCCATACAGAACAATCGAATTGCTGGATGAAGTCTACCATCGATATAGTATCCTCAATGAAGTAGCTCCAGGTGGAGTCATCATGGCATTCGGAGCTGGCAATTGTGTCTCTTCGCGCAGAGAGATACCGTATAGCGTCCAGCAGGTATTCTGGACATCCAAGGAATGACTGCTCGACAGTCTCTTGGAATTGTGGGCCCCCAAGCAAATCATACTGTGACAATAATTTTGGGCGTACAAAAGTCCCACCCAAGGTTTCGATGCTAAAGTAATATGATCGTCAGTCACAGAATTCAACACCCAGAGTGCTCCTTGCTTACGAGTAAATCTGACTAGCAAGAAAATTACGCAGATCCTCTATAGTTTGTCCGGAATCGTGTCTGGAAACAGCCTGCGAATCAGGTGTACTGGGTTCCAACAATCTTTTGGCACCTTCTAGGTGGACATTCCATCGATCACTTCCAGACTCCAGAAGATCGAGAAATACTAGGAGGAATATGCTTGCCACTGTCTCATCCCTGTTCCGTGATTTCGCATCACCCAGGGCCTGTGCAATCCCTTGTATGGCTTGATATTTGAAGCGAAGCGCGTCAGAGTTTGCAATCATTTGATCGGATGATGCATTGACAGTGAGATCACGGAACGAGCAATGTCGATTTACCCTGTGTCGCGCTGCAAGAGCCAGTACGGACTTGAGCAGCGTGCGGTCAAGCAGCGCAAGTGACATTAGGGCCCTAAGAGGATTCCTATCGCTGTCGTAAACGATGAAGAGTCCACATATGCTTTCATTATCTGAGGCAGAGTTAGACAAGTTTGTGCACAGCCTAACGAGATGACTCACAATAATCCAGGTAGTACCTGGAGACTGCGTCCAGGTCAGATATGGCAAAATCGCCTATAGTCGGTGGTATGCTGATTACAGGTTCCGATGGGGTGACTAATCCGATATGAGCGATTTATTGATATTCAATAGGGTATGCAGCAGCTATACTTACCCTGACTTTCGGGAGACCGCACAACGGAAAGAGCAGACTCACTCGCCGATGCAAGACTGTCTTCACTTGAGTCTGACTCTTTTCGAGGTTTTGCTTTTTTAGCTGGACTAGCTGATTTGGTTGCCAATGATACGCCCCGCAGCTTCCCCCGTATCGCTAGGCCTTCAACCCATCTCAGAGGTCTAGAAGCAAAGCATTGATAGCCACTTGTCGCGCACTTTACGCAAGGAGATTGAGACTGGTCGCAGCGAATGCGCCGGCGTCGACATGTGTAGCACGGCTCCTCCATTCTCGTTGGACGTACAGTCTATAGTAGGCTGCGTAGCGACGCTGTCTTTACTGCGTGGCGAGATCCCCTCATCGAATGCCAGTCCAGCAGTTTTGATGCCCAACGCACAGAAAGGCCGTAATCTGCAATGGACATAAAATTTGAGACATGTAGAGTCTGTAGACAATAGAGTTCGTTGATGGTGTCTGATAGGACCGAGCGGGGATGAAAGATGGAGGAAGATGCAGCGAGGCCGGGAGTAACTCTGTGGGGAGATTCAAGGTCTGGCCGCCAAACTATTTCCGCCACCCAATCAAAGCACGATCCGCGCCCCCTGAACTGACCGGTCAAGCAAAATATACGGCATGACATATACTCTTCTCATTCCTACCTTGCATTCTACATTTTTCATGTCGCTCTATGCGCGATAAGCAAGATGTGAACGAGTATATAGTTCTGCGTAAGCCCCTCCGTTGTTCTAGCCCGGCGTCGGTTCCATCACCCTTCTCTCCCTTCTACACCCCCATACTAGTACAGTAGGCTAAATATCTCGCCAAGACACATACTAATCCACCACAATGGCACCAGTTGACGAGAAACCAGTCTCTCTCTGCAAGTCCGAGACTCACGATACTCTGGAAGTTTCCTTGCTAAAATACATCTACTCTCACCCCTCCTTGCCCCAAATCCGCGGCAATCCGTCCGCCCTACTCGCTCTCATCGACGAGTTCGCTGCAAAGCAAGCCTTCTTTATCAGCCTTGGCCCAGACAAAGCCAAGAAGCTTTCGACGCTCTTCGCAGATGAAAAGCCAAGGGTTGTCGTTGAGCTCGGCACTTATGTCGGCTACTCCGCAATCATGTTCGCAGACGCCATGCGGCAAGCCGCTGGTGGATCCTCGACAGGCCTCCGCTTGTGGAGTCTGGAAGCTGATCCCCTCATTGCATCTATCGCCATGAACTTTATCGAATTGGCGGGTCTCAGCGATATCGTCAAAGTGGTTGTCGGTCCGGCGGACGAGTCGCTCAAGCGCCTAAGTGCGGAAGGGAAGCTACCTAGTGTTGATCTCATGTTTATTGATCATATCAAGGATCTTTATGTACCTGATCTGGAGCTGTCTGAACAGCTGGGGTTCCTTCACTCTGGCTCTTTGGTACTCGCAGATAATGTGGTGCATCCTGGTGCGCCGGCTTACCGGGAGTTTGTCCGTGGGAGCTCGAAGTATGAGAGCTGGGGAATGAAATGTCTTCTTTTCCCAGAAGATATAGTTGTAAGTGTTCCATTGTCGCTCTTGTATGTTTGTATGTGCTAATTATGTATGTGCATCAGGACGAGATTGAAATCAGCAGAGTGAAATAAGATACAGTCTGTTTCAATCATAACATCTAGGACACGATGTTATGACAGGGTACGCATGATAACTTCCACCATCTTAGATGTGCTAGACAACTGCTGCGGTTATATAATAGTTTTGACTAAGATAGTGCCAATCTTCAGCACATAATCAGATACTATCTAATCTTTGCTCATTGATTCATAAACACTTCTCCATATTCCTACTTCTGCGCATCCTTCATCTCCCCCCTCTCCCTCACCATCTGCGCAACCCCCTTCGCAACATCCGTCTCCAACGCCTCAAACCCACTAATCACTCCCTCACGATCCCCCTTCGTCGACTCCTGACTCATCTTAAACTTTCCCTGCAACCGCTCAATTCTAATCTCAATGCCAATAATATTCTTCTTCAGAAGTTCCACATACGGCACCGGCGCATCCGAGACCTTCCACGGTGCCGGCCGCCCCTCCGTCCCTGTATACCCCATAATGGACCCCTCACTCTGCCTCGTCAAGTCCTCCACAGCTTTCTGTAAGAATGCCCCCGTCTCCTCAGACTTGGAATCACAATACACCCGGATCTTGCCGTACGCTTGCGCAGCGGCATAGTTCCACGTTGGGACGACCTTCCCGGTGGCAGGCTTCGTCTCCGTGTAGAACTTGGGTGTGACGTAGTGGTGGTGTTCGGAGGTGAAAAGAATGAGGACTTCGTCTTCCAGTTCGAGAGAGCTGGGATTGTTGCCTGGTTGTTGTTGCTGCGCTGCTAGTGCTTCCATTAGAGCCTTGGCTTGGGGGTTTTGCTTGGCCATGTGGCCGCGGAGGGTGCCATTGGGGATTGTTTCGTCCGATGAGTCTTCTGCTTGGGGAACGTCGAGAATGAACGGGATGTGGCTTGATTGGAGGAGAGGGTAGAGAGGGGATTTGATTGCTGTGGTGAGGATGCCGAGGGGATTTTGGCGGATGAGTTGGTGGAGGGCTGGGATGTGGGATTCGGCGTGGATGGCGCGGAGGTACATTGTGAGTGCTCGGGGAGAAGTGTGATAATATTAGGTAAGTCTAAGTATGGGTGTATCTTGGAGAGGTTGTAAGTGTAGTAGAGAGGACAAGCGTCCTTATATTATATAGTACTAGTACCTTGTTCACGAGTTAATCGGCCGACGAGTCATACTTTTGTATGTGTCAGCGTATCGGACAGTATGCTGATTGGACAGTATCGCCGAGGAATCAATTCACTTAGTGCTATTTCTATTTAGTAAGTAGCACAACTGGTGGGTTAGGCCTATATAGCTGTACTAGATAGGTGTAGACCCCTCTTGGCTTCTGCGGAAAACATCATGACTATCTCCTCGGAGATCAGAACTGGAGCCGATGAGCATTCTGGTGGTTACGATTACGAGCCTGAGCATTGCGGCACGTTGTTAGTAGCCACCAAGTGACGGATCAAGAAGCCTTACCATCAGACTTTGATGTCCGTTC